GGGCGAGCGGGCGTCCCTGCAGCCAGCGAGCGGGAGGAGGAGCCGCGCCGCGCCCGGGCAGCGGAGGAGCCGAAGAGGGCGCCCCAGGTAAGAGCCTCCGCGCCTCCCCCCCCCCCGGGATTCCGGCGTCGCGGTCGCCCTGCCCCCGGGTAGGGAGGGACGGGGGCGGGGCCAGCGGGGGCGGGGCTTGGCGGAGGAAACTGAGGCAGGAGCGGAGTCCTCCAGATACGCAGCCGCTTACCCCCAGCGGGATCTCAGGAGACCAGACCCCCAGGCCAAATCCTCTTTGGGAGAAGGGGGCTGGGAGTACGTCATTCTGGATACCTGGGGAAGAGAGTCCTGAACTCCAGAACTCCCAGGTCTGAGGGAGGAGGGCGCTGGGTGTCTGGACTCCAGCATGGGAGGGAGGGAGCTGGGGATCTGGCCTCCTGAAGGAGGAGGAGGAGGCAGGGAACCGGCACTTCTGGTCTGAGGGAGGAGGTAGCCGACTTCTGGTCCTGGTTGGATCGGCGCAGTTGGGTCCCTTCACAGCCTTCTTTCCATTTCCCCATCTCGGAGCCAAGGCAGGCAGCTACTCCAGGTATGTGCGGTAGAAGTCTTGGACGGGCCCCGGCCTGTCCTGTGAGGATAGAACATTCCAGGAAGCAGCCTCAGGGACCCAGGGCTTCTTGAGTGTGGGCCCTCAGGGACCCGGGTGTCCAGACCAGCGCCACCCCCGCCCTGTCTGGGAGATGAATGGGCCATGGAGGAGGTAATCTTTTCCAGCCTCCTCTATCCCCCCGCCCCCTTCCCCCCCCCCACCCGCCTCTCCCTTCACCTCCCCCATCTGCTTCCCATCCCAGCCAGGAGCCATCACCTGGTCAAGGAAGGGGCCTCTGGGAAGGGGGCGCGGCCTTGACTCTTGGGTACCCTACACTTTAAGAGGAACACTGGGAAGGGGAGTGCTCAGGTTCCCTCCCCCACTTGCCCACACAACCTGCCTGTTCCCTTTTCCCCCTAGGTGGCTGCCCCTTCCCTCCCCTGAGATGTCAGGAAAGAGGGGACCACCTGTGTCCCCCACAGGGGCCCCCCAGAGCCTGGGGGCCCCCAGCACTGGAGCCTGGAGGTGGAGGAGGTGCTGACAGGTCTGGTAACCACCTGCTGCTTCCCACTTCTCTCCACACCACTTTCCCAGAACCACAGACTTCCAGAATATTGCAGAGAAACTGTAGGATCCACACCCTCACCACTATCTCCCAGCCCCTGATTCATTTTTTTTTTTTTAAGATTTTATTTATTTACTCGTCAGAGCCAGCACAAGCAGGGGGAGTGGCGGGCAGAGAGAGAAGCAGGCTCCCCGCTGAGCAGGGAGCCTGAGGGAGGATGCAATCCCAGGACCCTGGGATCATGACCCGAGCCAAAGGCAGACGGACGCTTTACCAACTGAGCCACCCAGGTGTCCCCCCTGGTTTATTTCTTGGACAGGGAAACTGAGGCCCCACACAGGAGAGGAAATGTCTTGCCTTCTCAGTGGCAGTTTTGAGCTGAACTTGGGTCTTGCTAGGATATCAGAACATGGCTTTTCTCAGAATTTTGGAACCTCAAACCTCCTCTAGGCTGTAGGACTTAGGGTCCCTCAGGGTTGTAGGTAGGGGTAGGATGCAGGGTGGAGTTGCTCTGACAGGGCTCAAGTCCTACTTCTGGCATTTGCTGGCTGTGGGATCTGGCTCACCTCTCTGAGCCAGTATTTCTCCATTTGCTGATTTGTTGGCTATTATTAGCAATAGTAGTAGAATAATTATGATTAATCTAGAAGTTGGGTGTTATCTAAGTCCTAGAATATAAGGTCCCTCCAAGGTTCTAGAACAAGGGCCTCCCCATGGTTCTGGAATTCAGGTCCCCCTGGAGTTCCCAACCTCTGTCCCCCTCCCCCACTAAGTTTTTATCCTCATCTCTAACCCCAGCTTCCCTCTCTATCCTCAGGTGCTCGGCGAGATGCTCCCCAGCCCCTCCTGCTCCCTCCCCATCCTCCTCCTTTTCCTCCTCCCCAGTGTCCCAATGGAGCCCCATCCCCCACCCTTACCACTGCCCCCATTTCTAGCCCCTGAGTGGGACCTCCTGTCTCCCCGAGTAGTCCTGTCCAGGGGTGCCCCCGCTGGGCCCCCTCTACTCTTCCTGCTGGAGGCCGGGGCCTTTGGGGAGCCAGCAGGCAGCCCCGCCAACCGCAGTCGGCGAGGGGTGAGCGAGAGGGCACCAGCAAGTCGCCGGGGAGAGCTGGCGGTGTGTGATGCGGTCAGCGGCTGGGTGACAGACCGCCGGACAGCTGTGGACCTGCGTGGGCGTGAGGTGGAGGTGCTGGGCGAGGTTCCTGCGGCTGGAGGCAGCCCCCTCCGCCAGTACTTCTTTGAGACCCGCTGCAAGGCTGACAGCGCCACCGAGGAAAGTGGCCCTGGTGGGGGTGGGGGTGGGTGCCGGGGCGTGGACCGGAGGCACTGGGTGTCTGAGTGTAAGGCCAAGCAGTCCTACGTGCGGGCATTGACTGCTGATGCCCAGGGCCGTGTAGGCTGGCGATGGATTCGAATTGACACTGCGTGCGTCTGTACGCTCCTCAGCCGGACTGGTCGGGCCTGAGGCCCATGCTCAGGAACTGGGCAGGCAGAGGAAGAAGACAGCTGGATGCTGAGGGACCTCAGGGGTGGCCTGGCTGCCCTGGGCCTCAGTTTGGGAACTTGTGAAATGGTCACAAAATCACAGCTTTCTGAGTTGGAGAGCTCAATCGATGTAAGACAGGTGGTGAAACCAAATGGGGCTTTGAAGGATGAATAGGAGTTCTTCTGGATGAACTTGAGGGTGATGATGATGATAATACTCAATATTTTCTGAGTGTCTACTGTTTATCAACACTAATACACAATTTTTCAGATCAACTCTGGTGGATTTAACCATCAGAGGAACCTCAGCTTCTAAGTTGCTAACCACTTGATTTCAGAGGACATCTTGCTCACCCTGGAGAGAATGACAAGGAAGTGATATGTCAAGAAGTGGGTGGGGGAGTGTAAAAACGGACACGTAAGCAACTAGGTGGGGGCTGGGGTTTGAATGAGAAATCTTACTTCGTCATATGGGGTGAGTGTTGGCTTAGAATGTTCTCTTTTGAGGCAGTGAGCTACCCATCACAGGAGCACAAGCAAGGTTGAATGATAAGACGTCAGGATGCTAGAGAGTTTAACACTGTTGGGGAGTTGGAGTCAGGTTTCTGCCTCCTTTTCTGTCCCAACTTTTACCCCATATTGGGAAAGAATTAGACCTTAGAATTGTCAACCTTGAGTATGGCATAAGGTTCTGACCAATTGACCTGCTCCTGGCTAGGATCCGGGGTCATGTGGACAGTGATAGGCTTTGAGTGGGCCAGGAAAATCCAAAAGGAGAAACGGCCCCAGAGACCTGAATGAGGGGTTCAGTGGGACCAGGGGCCAGGTTGCAGAAGGTAGCCTCAGTTTTCCCCATCTGAAGAATGGGTTAGTGGGATGAGCTAGCGGGAGCTGAGAAGGCAGAAGCTTGACCAAAAGGTCTTTAAGGCAAGGAAGTGACAAGGGAAGTCAGGGGTAGACCCCACACCTTCAGGATACCCCTTCATGTATCACCAGTCCATAACTTAAGCCTGTTGCCAAACCACGCGGCGCGTGGGCGCGCGCATACACACACACACACACACACATTCTTTTAGAACCAGCTTCAGGCTAAGGACTGAAACCATAGACATCCCCCATCCCCCCGCCAACACAGACTGGGCCCCTGGGAAGGGTAGGGGTGGCAGGGCTGGGCCGGGTCTGGCTGCCTTTGTTTCTACATCGCTGTGTTTCTAGGTCTGTGGTTCCCACTCTTTTTTGTCACCTCCCTCTCTGTCTCTTGTCCCTGGGTCAGTAGCTCTCTATCTGTTTCTCATTCACTGTCTCTCACCCGTTCTTGTCTTTTTTTCTCATCAAAGCTCTTTCCACATCCCCTCCCGTCTCTTTTTGCTAAGTATTTCCCTGTGTATGTGTCTGTGGGTCTCTCCCTCGTCACCCACCCCCATATCCAGGTGGAAGTTTTCAACCAAATCAAAGGCAGGCAGGACAGACGAAGCCCGAGCCCCGGGCTCACTCCTTCAGCGCACACAGGGAGGGAGGGAGAGCCCTGGGGAAGTCTGGAAATCGTTACCCCTGAGGTAGGCAGGACTGGCAGAGGGAGGAGGGGACTAAGAGAGTTGGGACCCTGTAAGAAAGGGGGCTGTTTCTCCTGGATTCCCTGATGGCGGTGGGTGGTCTCTGTCCTCCTCCCCCTCTGGGTCTCTGTCTCCCCCAACCTGGAGTCTCTGTGTCTCTCAAATTCCCTGCAACTCTGAGCTTCTATTCCCCCTTCCTCCCGCCTCCCTCTTTCTGCCCTTCTCTCTCTTTCTCTCTCTGGGACTCCCCTCCCCCATTTCTCTGAGTTTCTGTGCCCTTCCCTCAAAGTCCCTGTCCCTCTGTGCCTGGGTCTCTTTCTCACTCTATCTTTCTCACTCTATCCAACCATCCGCACACCTGCAGGCCTTCCATTGGCTGAGTTCGGGGGCGGGTTCTGTTACCTGGGGCAACAGCAACAACAAGCCTGCCCCTGCGTGGCTACCCCGCAGGGGTGGAACTATGGCGGGGCGGACCCTAGCTCCGTGCTACGGTCCCCCATGGCCCCCAATCTCTGGGACCGAGGTGCCTGGATCCTGGCCCAGCGGGCATCTCAGCAGCAGTGGTGTCGCCCACCACCTTATCCCGTCTGTGCCCTTTCCCCCGCCCACTGTGCAGGTGAGAGGACGCTAGGTTCCTGGCCAGGAGGAGACTGGGGGCCCAGGCTCCCGTGTCTGCAGGAGAGGCCTGGGGGTCCAGACACCTGCTGAGAGAAAAGTGGATTCGGGGCGTGGACTCCTCTCTGACTGAAGGAGGAGGGTCCCCGAGTCCCGGGTCTGAAAGAAGAGGGGCCAGGGAACCTCGATGCCTGGAACTGGAGGGAGCAAAGGGTTGGGGACCGACTGGGAGAGATCAGGGCTCGCGGGCCGGACTTGAACCGTTTTAGCCGACGTCCTTCTCCCCAGTCCACGGTCGCGGAGCCCCTGCCGCCGGCCGCAAAGCAGGATTTGCACATCAGGGATTTTGACGAGGTCATCAGCAGATGGGAGACAACCTCTGGCTCGGCTTACGTGCCTAAGACCCACGGCGGGCCCTACGCACAGCCCAGGGCCCCAGAGCCTTCGGACCCCACGCGGACTGTGGGGATCAAGGAATTAGAAGAAAAGGTAAGGTTCTGGGATGCAGAGGTCCGCCGGGGACAGGGCTGGGTGGGGATCGCGCTGGAGTACCGTGCGCCCTCACGGTGGATCCCCGCGTCGCCTTCCCGCAGCTCAGACACCGCGGCTGGCGCCTCCCGCTGATCACAAAGCACCAGTTAAGCGAGACCAGGGCGCAGTGCACGGGCTGGCCCGACCCGGATCAGCAGCGCCCCACCTTCTACGTCGGGCCCCAGCCCCTGGAGCTTGCGGAGCACCTTCGCGGAGGCCCTTCCCAGGTAGCGGACAAGACCCGCTGCCGCCGTGGGACAGAGTTCGTAGCGCCTGGGGCGGGGTCGGAGGGGCTCTGAAGGTAGGGACCAGGCTAGGAGACCCTGGGGTGGAGAATTTTGACTCTGGGGTCGTAGCCAAAAGGTCTGGGACGCAATCAGATTACAGAGTCTGGGGGTGGAGCTTGGACCTTCTGAGGTAGGGTCAGGAGGAGGAGGGGGCTGGAGACCGAAATCCCAGCTCTGAGGCTGGGGCCACAACCAGTGAATCCTGGGGCGGGGCTGGGAGGGGTTCTGAGGCCGGGGTCCGAGCTCGGCGGCGGACGGTACGTGGGGGCGGGTCTTGAACTTCCCGAGCCGAGGTCGGGAGGCAGGGCTGGGCTTTCCCGGAGTGGATGAGCTAAGGGGAACGGTTGCCGGAGGTGCGGCTGAATTCCAGTGGCGGGAGGTGGAAGCCAGGAGTCTGGGGGCGGAGCTGGGAAGGTTTTTGTTTAGTTTAGTTTAGTTTTGTTTTTGTGGTTGGGGGCTGGGCTTTGTGTTCGATGACCCACAAGTGTTTGGATTTTGGAGTAACCCTAATAAGGGTTCTGATTTGGGGAGCGAAGCTAAAGTGCGCTGGCTTGCGATTGGTCAGGAAGGATTCGGATTCTGGGGGCGGGTGTGAGGGCGGTTGGGTCGAAGGAAAAGGGATCCTGAGTCTGGGACCCAGGGCCTGGAATGCGGTATGAAACCTCCTTCTAGCTCATTCTGTCCTCCCCGGATCCTCCTCAGGCTTTAATCCCCTGGACAAAGAACCTCGAGCTGGCCGGCCGGTCTTTCACAGTATCTGACCAGGGCGTCTTGGACCGCCATCAACTCTATCTGACCACCTCAGCCAAGGACCTCCGGGCCTACCCGAAGTGAGCCTGGGTCCTCGCTCGGCACCGCCCCCGGCATAGGCCGGTGCGACGCCGAACCCGGGTGTCGGCTCCCCCTTGTCCGACTCAGGAGCCTCAGCCTTCAGCTCCCGCACGCTCAAGACCCAGAAGTTCAGACCCCAACCCGTACCTTTTTTTAGCACCCAGGTATCCTTAGTGTCAACTCTCAGGAATATGAAACCTGCCGCTTGCCCAAGAAGGGGTTCGGGACCAGGGGCGGGGCCCTAAGGGTCTAGGGCGGGGCCTACTTTGGTTCCCAGATACTCTTTCCCAAGGGTTCGAAAACTCCAGATTCCAGGCCCTTAAGGACCTCGAGACCCAGGAATCCAGGTTGGGAGTCCCCAGCCCCCATCCTTCCTGAGGGGTCCCCGAATCCTACAAATGTGTTCTTGCCTCGAAACGCAGGAGTTCAGGTCTACAGGCTCCTCAGAACGCGAGGTCTGAACCTCAGCCTTGTCCCTAGGATCCAACTGTGCCTTCCCTCTCCTGCCTCCCTCACCAAGAGGAAGGAGTTGTCTGGATATCCCCGCAAGGACTCGCTGACCTACTGGAGCTTTGAGAAGGCGCCTCAGGCCTGGGGCCATGACCTACAGAGGCCACCCTGGCCGTGCCCCTCTCGGCCGCCAGGGATGCGCGTGCCCCATGTCCATCCGGTGACGACAGCCGTGCCACACCACGGGGCGTTGTCTCTGGCTCAGGAGTCCTACAGACCCACGCTGCGCCCGCTTCTCCGGCTCGACCGTTTCTGCCCGCTGGAGCTGCCCTGGGGCGGCCCCCACTGGAAGCCGATGTCGGGGATCTACAGCGTGCCGCAGGCCTACCGCACTGAGAACTCCAGCTACGGCAGCAGGAAGCCAGCCCCCCTGTGAGCCGGCAGCGCCAGCCCCGCCCCGGACACGCCCCCCGGGCGCGGGCCGAGCCGAGAGCACGGCCTCTGGGGCCCCCACGGGGCGGGGCTAAGGCCGGGAACCCCGCCCATGACGTGGGAGCGAGACGGAGGCCAGGACCCGGTGGGCGGGGCGAATCCCACACTTGACCGCAGGGTTGCCGGGGTCGGGGAGGGAGGTGGGAGCTGAGCCGGGAGAATGTACTTTGGGGCTGTGGGCTCGCGGGCGGGACACGCCCTCTGCGATAGAGGGGGCGGAGCTTCTTAGTCGACGACAGAGTTAAATAGCCTAAACCATGCCCATTGCTGGGTTCGGCTCTGGGGGCCTGAGTGTGGGGGAGATGGGGCTCCCGCTGAATCCCTCGTGGAAGGCAGGCACGTCTGCGTGCAGGTGGAACCCCGCCTCTGGGCACAGAATCCAATATTGAAGCCACGCCCCCCAGAAGAGGTTAGACTGGCACCGTGGCTTTCAGTCTACGGCAGGTGGAGGGGGTGCTGAGGGCTCAGGGGATCACCATTCGAGGGTCCTTGGGAGGGGCGACCTTCAGCCTTCCCCAAGCTCCCACCGTGATGGGCAGAGACGAGGCCACACCGCCGGGGGCAAGGCCAAGGGCTCCCCGTAGCCTAGTCCCTGTGGCCGCAGCGCGACTTCCTTAGCACCTGAGGATTGAGTCCGGGAAGTCAGCTTCACCTCGGGCGTCTCCCGCTTCTTGGCGTGGGAGCCCCTCAGGGAGTGGGGGTAAGGGGCACTCCACAGAGCCACTCCTGCACACCTCCCTGACCTTTTCTGCTTCTCGCCCCCGGAAAGATTAGTGTCCAGGTTACCCCATCATGCCGCCACCCCCAGTGGCCTTGCCGCCCCCACAGCCTGCAAGTATAAGACCAGGTAAACATCATAGGGGAGGCACTGAGGATGGAGACGCTCCAGGTAAGACTGTAGGACGCCCCTAGGCACCTTGCAACTCCATGCAGGCCACAGCTGGCACAAAGAGGGAGAGTCCTGTGACCTGATGGAAGCTTCCTTCTAGAAGGGTGGGGACGGCCAGCAGGCTTCTGGCCAGCAGGGCAGCAGGTGGAGCAGGGCCCGAGGGTAGGAATCTGCAGTGTTGGGAGTACCTGGGGCTCCCGAGTACTGGAGCAGGGGCTCAAAGTGGGAGGGATGGTCCCGAATGGAAGACGCCAGGCAGGGGAGCTGGGTCCCGAAGGTGTCTGTGTGGGGGATGGGAGGGCAAGGGCTCAGGGTAGAAGGGTCTGGCTGGCCCTGAGACACTGGCCTTGTCCCAGGGGCTGCTGCTGTGGCTGCTGCTGAACGTGGGTGGGGTGTGGGCATCCAGGGCGCCACTTCGGCCGCTATGCCGGCCCATCAACGCCACCCTGGCCGCCGAGAACGAGGCCTGCCCGGTCTGTATCACCTTCACCACCACCATCTGTGCCGGCTACTGCCCCAGCCTGGTGAGATGCGGGGGGGGGGGCAGCCCTGCTGGAGTGGGAACAGGTGCTGCCGCCTCAGCTCCGGGTGGGTTACTCAGGGCCGGGCCCACATCAGATGGGAAGCGGCAGCCGGGATGGAAGGGTGGCCCGCCCCCTGGGCGGGGGCTGGGGAACTGGGGAGTCCGAGCTGGGCATGTGGGAGGGAGGGAGAGCACAGGGGGTCTGCTGGACACCTGAGTCTGGGACCTGTGGGGGGCAGCGGGGGAGCTCGGGGTGGGGGGGGTTGCTGACCACAGGTGGATAGCCGTGCCCCCCCACCCCCCACCCCCCGGCCCACAGGTGCGAGTGTTGCCGGCCGTCCTGCCGCCTGTGCCCCAGCCGGTCTGCACCTACCACGAGCTGCGCTTTGCCTCCATCCGGCTCCCTGGATGCCCGCCTGGCGTGGACCCCATGGTCTCCTTCCCCGTGGCCCTCAGCTGTCGCTGCGGGCCCTGCCGCCTCAGCAACTCCGACTGTGGGGGTCCCAGAGCCCAACCCTTGGCCTGTGACCGCCCCCCGCTCCCAGGCCTCCTGTTCCTCTAAGGGTCCCCCCCACACGCCAACTCCTGGAGCCAGCAGATGCTTCTTTCCTCCCCTCCTAATAATAAAGGCTTCTCAAACTGCACTCAGGTGGTCTTTTGTCAGGCTCAAGGTGCATGCACGCGTGTACACACACACACACACACACACACACAATGGGTCCAGTTTCAGGGACGCCTGGGTGGCTCAGTCCGTTAAGCATCTGACTCTTGATTTCGGCTCAGGTCATCATGATCTCAGGGTCATGGGAATAGCTCCGCACTGGACTCCACGCTGGGTGTCCTGGAGCCTGCTTAAGATTCTCTTTCTCCCTCTCCCCCTGCCCCCACTGCCACCCCACCCTCACTGCTCCATGAGCTCTCGCTCTAAAAAAAAAAAGAGAGAATGGGTCCAGTTTCAGAACCATTTTATATAAAGTTACAGTGTCAGAACTCTAGTAGAAAACAGGGTGGGGTGGGGAGAGGGCGAGGGTGACATCAGCTCAGGAGGTGTCCATGGTTTCGCCTTCTGTCGGGAGAAGGAAGGCCAGGTGGTCAGTGTGGCCCAGGGAGCAGGGCCTGAGATCTCCAGATCAGATACCCGCCTGCCCTCTGGGGCGGGTGACCCTGGGGACAGGCGCAGCAGGGGA